CAGCTCGCACATCGAAGATTTCTCCAGCTGGCCCCTTCCAGGCCCACGCGGATCACGGGTCCAACCCGAGGTCCAAGAGGGTCCCGATGACGGCGCTGAGGTGGCTATATACGTGGTTCCATCTACGTCCCCCCTGGAGCCTCCTGAAGATGTGGGGCCAAGAGTTGTTGATACCCTCGCGCAACTGCGGCTCGGTGTTGATCGCTTCGAACCACATGTCAAGGAGCCTGATGCGCATGAGAATAGCTGGGTCCAAGGCTTCAGGCAGCAACTTCGCCTGATGTAGCCCTGCGGTGAGACAACTGCCTAGCTTACTGACTCCGAGTGCTGGTCCTGCTGCACGTCGGTGAAGATTGAGCTCTGTCGGTGCAACTCCATGGCCTTCGAGGCCCCAGTGTACCTGTGGCTGGGCACCTGTCCTATGGAGCTTGTTGGCGTCTTTCGTGACCCTCAGGAGTCTTCTAATGTCTTTGGTCCGCTTGAACTCGAGACGCTGCCGAGCCCGACGAACCTGGAGGCACCTGCGTTTCCCCACCGTGGAGTCTAACCCGAGGTCCCTGGTACTGAGTTTGCTCTGGAGGGGGATGTCTCTGGTCTGGCAGTCCACGATTATCTGCGCCCTGACCTCGTTGTCATTCGGGAGGAGGGCGGATTTGGGGGAGAGCCTGCAGCCTAACTCCTGGAGCCCATCCTTGAGGAACTGGATGACCTGGGGGTACTGTTCCACCAGGGCCTTCTTGGAGGCCACCATCCTAGCACGTAGATCGTCGACCCATGTCCTGAGCGTGAGCCGAGAGAACTGGAGGTGGGCGGCATTCAGCAGATCGTGCAAGAGAACCCGAATCCACGCAATGCTCTGCCCACAGCCTGCCAGAATACTGCCCTGCGGAATGATGGGTTCGCGGGTGCCCATCTCCGTGGTCAGGAAGCGTGCTGCTAGGTGCGTGATGATACCAAGGTCAAGCTCAACCTTGGGATATTCCATCTCTCTGGCTTTGCCTGCTAATCTGCGTGTGCTGATCGTGTCATAGAACTTCTCTAAGTCTAGAAGCCCCTCGACGACGGTAACCTTGAGCACGCTTCCTATCTCTGCAAAAAGATCTGAAATGATGCCTGCTCTCAGACAACTCCTCCTCCTCCTCCTCCTCCTCCTCCTCCTCCTCCTCCTCCTCCTCCTCCTCCTCCTCCTCCTCCTCCCCCTCCTCCTCCTCCTTCCTCCTCCTCCTCCTCCTCCTCCTCCTCCCTCCTCCTCCTCCTCCTCCTCCTCCCTCCTCCTCCTCCTCCTCCTCCTCCTCCTCCTCCTCCTCCTCCTCCTCCTCCTCCTCCTCCTCCTCCCCCCTCCTCCTCCTCCTCCTCCCCTCCTCCTCCTCCTCCTCCTCCTCCTCCTCCTCCTCCCTCCTCCTCCTCCTCCCTCCTCCTCCCTCCTCCCTCCTCCTCCTCCTCCTCCTCCTCCTCCTCCTCCTCCTCCTCCTCCTCCTCCTCCTCCTCCTCCTCCTCCTCCTGCTCCTCCTCCTCCTCCTCCGCCTCCTCCTCCTCCTCCTCCTCCTCCTCCTCCTCCTCCTTCCTCCTCCTCTGCCTCCTCTTCCCCCCCCTCTGGAGCCCGACGTGGTCCTGCTTTCAGCGTCGTGGCTGTAAGCCGCTGCGCGCTGGGGTTCAAAGGGGAGGGGTGCCGAAAGCCTCTGGAGACTTCCAGGACCTGCGGATCCCCCCGGAAGCAAGTCGGAAACCCTCCAGGGGGCCCCGAAAGCCTCTGGTGCCTCCGAAACCCTCCAAGGGAGGGGGGCCAAGGGGGAGGGAGGGAGAGAGGGAGGGAGCGAGGAAGAAGGCAGGAGAGAGGAGAGGAGGGAGGGAGATAGGAGGGAGATGTTTTGTTAGAAAAAGGAGGGAGATAGGAGGGAGATAGGAGGGAGGTAGGAGGGAGATAAGAGGGAGGGAGGAAGGGAGGGAGGGAGGGAGAGAGGGATGGAGGAGGCAGCATTCGCCGCGGGTGGGCACGAGGAGCATCTGGATCATAGTGATTGCGTGCATGGAAGATAGCAGCAGTAGATTAGAAAATGCGCACATGATCGTTTCCATTGGACGTTCCGCACCAGCGTGGCTCAGATTTAAGACGTCGCTTGAGGCTTGTTTTGCACATGGCTATTCGAACAATACTCACACTCCAGTGCTTCGCTCCCGGGGGAAAGCAAGAATTACCCAAGTGCGACCATACCTAGAAGTTGGAGCCTCTAGGAAAGCAGCATTAGTTGCTATGATATGCTATGCAATGCCATGGTATGCTGCGCTATGCTATGCTATGCTATGTTATGTTATGCTATGATATGCTGCGCTATAAGTTGCTATGTTATGCTATGCTATGCTATGCTATGCTATGCTAAGTTGCGGCATGTTGTGTCATGATGCGCTGTGTTATGATATGCTATGCTATGCTAAGCTGCGCTATGCTATGATATGCTATGCTATGATATGCTATGCTATGATATGCTATGCTATGCTATGCTGCGCTATGCTATGTTATGCTGGGCTATGCTATGATATGCGGTGCTGCGCTATGCTGTGCTATAAGCTAAGCTAAGATAAGCCTGAGCTAAGATGGGGCTAAGCTAAGCTAAGATGACATAAGCTAAGCTAAGATGAGATAAGCAACGCTAAGCTAAGGGGACGTAACTGGGGGAACCGCGGGGCGGATACTGGGGGAACCGCCCGGGGCGCTTTCCACTGCCCGGCCCCTTTTAAGCCCAGAGAGTAAGAACCCTTCTAGGCAGAGCCTAGGTAATTAGGGAAAAACAACCGGTAAAGCCGCAGGTAATATCACTTTGTGTTTAAAACCTCAGGTATCATCATGTTGTCGCCGTTCTCGTAAAGAGACGGGAAGGACGAGGGAGAAAGGTGGAAAGGATGGAGGGATTGAGGGACCAAGGGACGGAGGCAGTAGCATGAGAAGGGCACTCACAGACCTTGTCCACAACGCCAACATAATTGTCAAGCAAGAAACGGACGCAAAACCCTTAGCCTTCCATGCTGACACCCAACTGGCCAAGGACAGGCCATGGACAGGCCGGCCGGAAAAGGCAAGCCTTGCGAAACACGACATCCTCACCACAGCCATTCCCTGTCGTGCTGGTGTTACCCTCTCCTCCGACGTTGCATTTGCTTCGTGACGTGGGGCCTCCTGGGATTTCGCCCCCCTTGGCGGGCTTCGCATGCTGAGTCGTCTCCTGACGGTACTGACTAGGGCCAGGAAACGGCTTCTGAAGCCAAGAGCGTCAAAAAGTACAGCAGCTACGCACGATGCCCTGCGCCGCCCAAATCTGGAGGCAGATTACTCAGCATACGCACGGTCCGAAGCTTTTGCTTAGCGTGTCGCGGCGGCCTGCGACACGCTATGCCCTGCGAGCGGATAGCGTAGCGCTCTGCTCCGCAGGGCGGGAGGCTGGGAAAGGCTCGAGATGTTGACGCTTCAGGATTGGGACGTGGATAGCGTGTCGCGCCAAAGCGTGGTGGGCCAGAAACGACGGCGCGACACGCTAACAGAAGGTGCCCGACCGTACAGAGGCATCCGCACTGTCCGACAGGAGAGCAATTTTATGTTTCGCGATAAGTGGCCGTTACAGGCCCCGGCCGCCCCCCCTCCGCTGATTAACGTCTAGCCTTGTGCTAACCACCGAATTGGCTTTGGCTCCTCATGGAAGTTCCCCGCCCTTCGCTAATTGAGCAGGGACCAGCCGTCCCAGCATCCCTAAGGACCTACCACGACATGTTCCTAGAACAAAACAATGTTCCCTGAACAAAAGCAACGTTCTTAAAACAGAAAGCTGATATATGAAACGAAGACGGTCTCGGCCAGAAGTGTTACGATGGGATGTCGTGCAAACCCCAAGGTTCTTAGAGCATTCTCTGGTGGGCCTGTAGGCAAGCCAGGACGCTTCGCCACTGCTCGAGCTATCGCCCGGGAATATACAGAGCCGCTATGGCGGCAATCGCTCGATTTCGCTCCAGCCGCCGCTGCCCTCGAGGCCTCGAGCGCCCCCGCCTCGCCATCGCCCAGCAGCAGCCCCCAGGGCCCATCTCAAGAGGGTCGCGCCGCCCCCAGGCCGCGCCCGCGAGGGCCCCCCCGAAGCACAAAAGAGGCCAGAAACTCCACTCGGGCGACGAAGATCGGCGACGAGCCCCAGGGGGGGGGAAGCGAAGGGGCGAGCCTTCTCAGTTCGGAAGGCCCCTGGCCTTCTGAGGAGCTGTTTAAGCCTTCCCCGAAGGCACAAACAACTTCTCAGAAGGCCGCAGGCCTTCTGAGAAGTCCCGCCGCCTTCTGAGAAGGCCTTCTCCTTCTTTCCCCCCCTCGCTCGCCGCCGAAAAGAGAGAAACCAGTCTTACGCGAGATGCCACAGCGGCCTGACGCCGAGGCCTGCACAGGCCGCCCGCGTGGCACACCGCGAGGAGAAGAGGGCGCGCACGCGCGACCCTACGCGGGCAGCTTACGCGCGAATGTCGCTGCAGTCGACCCCGGTTTCTTCTGCCGCTCCCTGCGGAGTCCCAAGATCGGGTGTCGCGAGAAGTGCCCCTGGCCCAAGGTGCCCCCAGGATTCCCAAGGAGGCCCCCACGGCCTCCGGAGCATCCCTCACGAGGCCCAGAGGGTCCTGGGAGCTCCAAGATGGAGCGACCTTGGGCCAGGGGCACCTCTAGCAACCCCCGACAACACGTTGTCGGTGACGGACGTGCGGTGACCTCGGCGTCCCCACCGACCTCACCACGCGGCCCGTCACGGCGCCGCTCTGGGGCCCTGGGCGCCGCTTGCCCGAGGCGCCCTCGGAGCACGCCCCGCCCCGGAAACCGTGCGGCCGCCCCGGATCCCCTCGGACCCACTGCGGAGGGGCCGCTGCTCGCCCCCTCCGTCGCCACGCCGCTCCACGCCGGCCGACGCCGGGCCACGGGCGGCGTCCAGCATCGAACGCCCGCGCCGAGGTCGCCGCCGCGTCGGCACGGCGCGAAGCTGCCATGCTCCCGGGGCCGCTCCCGAGGAGCGCGCTGACCTGGCCGCACTGTTCGCCCGGGCCCCCCGGGCCCAGCTCCCGGGCGCCCGTCAACCTCGGGGCTCCCGCGCACCCGCGGCGCCGCCCACGTCGGCGCGGCGCGCGAACCTGCCGCACGGGCTCCGACTGCAGGCCGAGGGACCGCAGATGGACAAAAGAGTGGAGCCCTCGGCTCCGCTCCCCCCTTCCCCCCCTCCGTTCCAAGTTGACCCTGTAAGACGAAGTCAGGACAAAATCGGGTGAGGATACATCGAGAATCTCTCAGATCCGGCGGCTCGGGAGGATGTCTCGGGCGCCGCGGCCTTCTCAGAGCGCTCCGAAACGCTCTGAGAACGTTCGGGAGCGCTCTGGAACGGATCTATCCTCGTCCTAGCCCCTCCCGACCCGGGGCATTCGGGAGCACAGGCTCGAAAGGACAACCAACAGAAAAAGTGGACCCCCCCGGGCCTCCAGCAAGCTGGCAACTTTGAGTCTGGGGAGGGGCGGGGGGAGGGGGGGCGGACACGGGGTCGAAAACGACGCAGGGGCTCCACTTTTCTGTCCCCTCACTGGGGGAGCGCGAAGGTCGCCGCCCTGCCCTGGCCCAGGCTGGGCGGAGAGCGGTTTCTGCTGCGCCACGCTCGCGGCGCCGGCGAAGCTCGCGGCGGCACGTCAGGGCTGCGAAGGCCACGGCTGCACGGCCGAAAAGCTCCAGCCTGCAAGGCCGAGGGCCTGCGCCGCTCGACCGCGGCCCGCACCCGGATCGGCCTCTCTTCGCCGCGCTCTTCGGCGCTGCTCGGCACCTGCCAGTGGTCCCCGTCGGTCCTCGACAGCCTCCCGCGGTCTTCCGTGCGGAAGCCGGGCGGTGCTGCCAGGGCACAGGGGCACCATGGCCGAACACGGAGGGGAAGGTGAGAAGACTAGGGGATGGCGGACGGGAGCTGGCAGGCTCACAGCTGGGAGCCCGCGGGCGGCCGCAGCTGCGGGCCGCCGCGCCCCAGCGCCGTTCTATGGTGGCGGTCGGAGCCGCCCCTGCCGAGGCCAGACCTCCCATGCCCTGATGTTCCTCGAACGCGTGGTTTTCCTGGACCTCTTGTCCCCATCCTGGGGACCAGGTTCTTATCCTGGGTCGGTCTTGTTGGCGCCCCAGGGCCCAGAAACGACCCCCGGAGGCTGACAACAACTTGATTCCCGCACGGCGCTGGTCGGAAGGGCGCTCGCACAGCCGCACGGCGAGATCAGGGCGCGCGCGAGTTGAGACGTCCTCGGCCCGTCAGGCCTCGGGGCGATCGAGGAGCCCCCTCCTCAACACACCGTCCAGCAGCAACTTGGGGAGATGTTCTTCTTACCCCTCTGGGAATGCATCGCAACGACGATCCCTCGAGAGTTGGGTCGAGGCCGACGGGTTCCCCAGGGGTGGTCCAGGAACATGGCTCCTCTGGCTGAAGCTGCTGCGACACGGCCGTTGCGCCGAGATCTTGCACGGCCAAGCGTCAGGTCCTGTGCGACCCACCCCCCGTCATCTTCCTGTGCTAGTCTCCTCCTCCGCACTGCTCCGCAGTACGGCCGTGGCGAGTGGCGATGGCCTCTGCCAGCCAAAAGTTCTCTGCGGTGCTGTGCGGCTGCCGCGGCGTTGGCAGCACCGCAGCCGCGGGAGAGAGAAAGCAGAACATACAGGTGAAGCACAGACTCTTCCAGCAGGGACCACGACAGGACTTCTGTGGGCTGCCGAACTCAAATATGCAGATTATTGCCACGGGCACGAGAGATGCGAGAAGTGGTAAGACTGCCAGCTGCGGCTCGGACAACGTACTGCAGGCTGCCAGAGGAACAGAGCCCGTCGCACGTGACAACTCGCTGTCGTCAACAGCGCGTTCGATGACACCATCACTACAGCACATCAACATCGTCGTCATCGTTACGTATCTTGTTGATACCACCACCATCAACAGCAGCAATGACCGCACGTGCAGGCCCTCCTGGTGGCGCGCGGCAGTGGTGGCGATAGAGGGCGGCCTTCTGAAAGCCAGGGGGGGGTCGTGGAAGCCTCCCCCCTCTTCGAAGCCTCTGAGTCCTTCCGAAAGGCACTGCGCCCTCTCGAAAAGCCTTCCCCTCCCCCGCCGCGGCACCCCCTTACCAGGGGAGCTGAAAGGTACCGATGCCGCTACTCCCTGGACCTCTTCTGGGGTGCGTTCTGACCTGAATTTCGAAGCGAATCCAGCCGTGGCGGCGAAGGCCTCCCGGGAAGCCCGCACAGACGAAAAAGAGGCATGTGTAGCAGTATCGATACATGTTCCTCCTCAGACCTTACTACGCTCGTGGGCGAAATACATATCCGGATCCGCGGTCTCGCGGGCTGGGCCCCTGGGCCGCGACCCATCCGATACGGGCCAGTGTTTCGCGGATCCGTAGGACTGCGCCCCAGAATCCAGACCGCGAGGGCGTAGACACAGACACGTTCGCCGCTCGTGAAACGCGCCGATGGCCCTCGCAGAGGCCCGGGAGGGCCGAGCAGTGGCACGCGCGGCTAGTTCAGGACGTTGCGGCCGGGCTCGACCGACGGCGAGCGGCCTGCAACCGCTCGGGCCCCACGGCCGGCAGCGCGGGTGGCCCGCGGCCACCGCTGGCGGCGGCGGGGCGGCCCTGGCCCTGAAGCCGCCTCTGGGCCGCGGCGAGAGGCCCGCCACGCGGCGGACCGGCAGCCGACGAGCGCGCGGCGGGCAGGCTCGGCGTCGAGCCCCGCGGGTCGCTCGCCGGGGCCCCCGAGGCCGCCGCCGCCGCTTCGGGGGAGCTGCGGCCCCAGGGCCGCCGCGCAGCCGCGACGCGCGCCAGCATCTCCTCCCGGCCCAGCCGCGGCGCTCGCGCCGACGCCTCGCCCGCGCCCGGCGGCGCGCCTCGCGGCGCCGCCGCGGCCTCGCCCAGCGCGCTTGGCGCGGGCAAGTCGCCCGCGGGTGCCGCGCGCCGGCGCGGCAGCCGCACCGTCGGAGCGTGCTCGGCGGCGGCGGCGGCGGCGAGCTCCGCGCCGCGGGCCCTCCGCACCGCGGCCAGGGGCGAGCCCTGCGCGACCACCTCGACGGCGGAGGCAACGACTGCGACGGTGGCGGCGACGGCGACGGCGGCGGCGGCGAAGGCGGCGGCGGCGGCGACGACGCTCCGCCCGAAGGGCCCCGCGCCAGAGGCCTCGCGGCCAGGGGGGGCCCCTGTGCGACCACCTCGCGGGGCGCACCTGCGCTCCCACCTCCGGGAACGAGCAAGCGATGAAAGAACAATGCGCACTCAAACTTTCAAGGAGGAGGAATGCAGAAGGGCATGGCGATCAAGGCGATATATGGGTATCGGCGCAAATTTTCCGACCTGGAGGGGGGCTCCCGTTCGAGCGGCGACACCCAACCCCCTCCTGAGGTCCCCAGGGGCCCGAACACGGCAGAAAACCCACAAACGATCCCAACCAGGGAGCTGCTGCGAACGGCAGCGAAGTCTGTCCCGTGAGACCTACGGAAAAATACCACACCGTTGCTCATGTGTGGCCGTTGCGTTTGCGCTGTTCTATATGCTTGGTATGCGGGCATGATGTTTGACATATTATGTGCGAAGATGTGTTGCATGCGCTATGGCTTACGCATGTATGTCCAAATATGGTGTGGCTGTGACATTTCTGCGCAATCATACTGCGGCTGCAAATGTTCTTGATGCATATTATGATGTAGGTGTTTCCCGTGTTGACATTATTGGCGCGCGTTCCTGAAAACTGTCGGCGTGTGTGAGGGGCTGTCCGTTTGGATCGTCGTCGTCGCCGCTGCCTCCCATTGACGCGTTTCCGTTTGACTCGTCGTCATCGCCGTCGCCGCTCCCCCGCTGTCCCTGAGCCCTCCTCAAACGTTCCAGCCAGAGGGAAATCTAGCAACAACGTGACGGAGTCGAAGGGAAGCCCCGTCCCTTTGATCCCTCCCCCGCTGGAGGGGGGGTCTCGGAGGGGAGACCCAGGAGGGGTATGGGGGTGGTCCCAGGAGGCGGTCCCCAGGGTTGTGACCCCGCCCCCCCAGGGGGGAGAACCCCTCCTTGGGAGAAGCGTTCCCCTTCGATGTCTTCCTTCTCAGACGGACGCCTCGAGTTCACTTGCACTGCGTCTTGCTACAAAAGAGCCCTGAAACAGCCCAAGATCGGTCGAGGACGGCTCAAGATACCTCAAAGACGGCCTCAAAGCCCCAGGACGCCCCACGAAGAGCCCCAAGGGCCTCAAGAGGCGGGAATCAACGATGTTCATGACATGGTCTTTCTATACGTTTCGCGTCATCGCCTTTCGGGCCTCCGACGCTCCAAAACGGGCCAGGAGGCCACCAAAATCGCCCCGAGACGGTCCAAGGGGCTGCCGAGAGCGCCTGAAGACAGCCCCAAAACCGACCCGAGACTGCCCCAAGACGGCCTCAAGACCGCACGAGAGGCCCCCGAGGCGGCCGAGTAGGGTCCCGAGAGGGCCGTGCCTCCGAGAAGGGGAGCGCGAACCGGCATTTCGACCCCTCTGCGCTTTCGACCCCTCCGCCCTCCGCCCCAAGAGGCCCCCAGGAGGCCCCCCAAGAGGCGCCAAGGTCGGAAGTGGCTCGGAACCAAAGAAAAACCCTCTTGCTCACTACCAGCTTTCTGGCCCTGGAAAAGCCTTAGTGAGCAAGAGTTGTTTTCGGGTGTGTTAGAAGGATCGCTTTGCAACAAACTTAACACAACCAGATGTGCCTATCTAGGTATGCGCGTGAAGTCTGGGATTCATGCATACACATCCGAACAGAACCAATTGTCGCGAATCTGGTTTATGGCATGGCTTACCGTAGTATCAAACAGGAAGGGGTGGTGATGATTGAAGATTTCATGTCTAGCAGCCCAGCTCATACAGTCGTCTGGCTGCGCAGTAAAGAATGGTGAGTGCTAGCCTGGCCCTAGACCAGACCAGGCCGAATGGCCTGATCTCAGGCCAGGCTGATCTTGACGCATTATGCCTGGAGCCCTGCAACCTCCTCGACCACGGCGTGCACCGTCGAGGGCGTTGCCTTCCTCGATTGCGCTGATCTCTTTCTGTGCCCCCACGGCTTTTCTTCTTTGAAAGTGCGGCCCTGCTCCACGAGGCGGCCCGCCCGCTTCTTCTTCCCGCCATGCTGTTTCGCAGCCAACTCGGCGTCCATCTTGACAACGGACTTCTTGAGTGCACTGCGCTTCGGGCCTTCTCCGTTGGGCACCGAACCTCCCGGGCCACCCTCTCCAGCAGGCGGCGCCTCGCTTCTCCCAGGATTACCCCTGAGACCGCCAGCAGCGATCTGGCCTGCCAAGACCTGCGCGAGCCGCAGGGGTGGAAGCCGCGCGCCGAGCTGCTCGCGCTGGGCGGCAAGGACGAGCAAGCGGTTGAGGGCGTAGACCTCCTTCAGCACGTGGACGCGATCTTCGCGCTGCTGCCAGACGCACCATGCCCAGCGCATCAGACTCCTGTGATCGGCCTCGTTCTGCGGCGCGCCCTGGACGATCAGCTGCCCGTGAGAGAGCTGGGCGAACACCGAGTTGTTGCGCAGGTAGTAATAATTCTTCGTGGAACTTGCGTTCATCAGGACCTTGCGGAGCGTCACCCCCTTGGAGTTCTTCTTGTCCATGATGTTCTCGTGCTTCTGGACAATGCGCTTCAACTCGGCCACGTACTCCTCGTGCGAAGAGAATGGCTGGTTGCAGAAATCAGCCCAGTCGCGGTCGACGCGCTCTCGCGCGGGCTGCCCGTCGCCTCAAGCAACCTCAGCCATCGGGGAACCAAGGTAGGTCTCCATCGCCAAGCTCTCCCCAGACACGCCGAGAGGACGGGAGAATTTCCAGGCGAGCTGCAGCAACTCGAATGAACAAGCCGTCCTCTTGCCGTCCGTGCACTGCTCGGCCCGCAAGGCAATGTGCAACCTGTCTTGCGCCACGCCGAGACACCTCGGCAAATACTCCAGCATTTGCGCACTCGGGGCGTCGGAGGACAGCATCCGCACCTGCTCGATTGCAGCGGGGGTCAAGCGCTCCTTCACCGCTGCGCCGAAGCTCTCCATACTCTCGTCGGGCTGGACGCTGAATCCAGGGCAAGCTCCCGTCATTCCCATCAGCGCGTGCCCGACATGGATCCCGCCCTTTTTCTGGTCCATTTTCTTCTGGCCAATGACGGAGAACAGGCACTTGAAGGTGCCGTCGTGGGTAAGCGTTGTGAATTCGCCCTGGGCGACCTCCTCTCACATGAACCGTCGTGCCGCATGCTGAACCAGGCCGTCGGGGTGGCGGAACACGCGGTCCATAAACTCACGCAAGAGGTGCGGGCGGCAGGCCAAGAAAGGCGACGCTCCGTCGCGGGGCCACTGCCTGTGGAGATGGTCCAGCACGCCGCTCATCGCTCCGCGCGAAACCAAAGCGTGGCTAACCAGCGAGTCCTCGAAGCGTTTGGTGTGCGAGACCTCGGGGGTAATGCGAATGCAGTCAGCGCACTTGGAACGCAACCAGTAGCGCGGGCCCGCCTCCGTTAACACGAACACGAGGTGGGCTTCGTTGGAGCGGCTCGCAGCCTTCAGCGCATCCGCAGGAGCGTCGCGATTCCACGCTCGAAGCAAATCGGCAGCGCGGGCCAGGTAGCCGCCGTCTTTCTGCGCCGCCCGATTAACCACCGAGCAGACGCGGTCGAACCTGCACAGTGGCATGGCGACCTTGAAGTGGGCATCGTCCTCGCGAGACGCGATGAACTTAGGCGGCCGGTGGTGCTTCTGGTGCTCGATGAGATGCTCGCGGCGGCTGAACGATCGCCACGGGCACAGGGCGCAGCGGCAGTGAATGCGAGATCGACAGGTACCGATCTCGGCCTGGTAGTCCGCGGCCTCTTTGCCCAGAATGCTGCAGAACATCTCCAGAAACGCGGGCTCGTCGGACTCGTCGATGTCCTCCTCGCGCTCGGACAACGAGGCAAGGTCGACC